CCCCCACAACGTACCTTTCTGTAAAATCACCAAACCCTAAAATCCCTCAACCCCCTTCTCGCAGCCTCCGAAGAGGTCTTCATCCCCTACAGGAACTCCAAGCTGACGCGGGTGCTCCAGGCCCCGTGGCTCTGGGAGAGAGAGGGGTTTTTTGGGTTTTGGGGGGTTTTAGGGGTTTTAGGGTTTCCGGGTTTTGGGGTTTCGGGGTTTTAGGGTTTAGGGAGCTCGCAGCTCGAGGAGTCCCTGGGCGGCAACGCGCTCACGACGATGATGGCCCAGGGCTGAGAGCGGAGCGGAGCGGAGCAGGGCTGAGAGCTCTTTTTTTGTCGCCGCTCCCTCCGAGCATGCAGGGGCCGCCGATAGCGCCCAAAGATGCAGACGCACACAGCCTTGAAATTCAGGTTCGACTGTAAGAAACTCACCCCAGAAGGCAGGGGGCTGAAAGGACACGTGACACCGCGTGGCAGAAAAAACGAAAGAACACAAGACCTACTCGCGCTTGAAGTCGAACAGTCGAACCGTCCCGACAAGAGTCGATCTGTCAGGCGCATGCTGCTAGCCATGCTGCTTGTTCCGTTTGAGGCTTGAAGGGCAGCAAACGAGGGACGGGATCCCGAAACGGCTTCGTTCAGAATGGTGTCCCAAGGGAGGTCCTTCGAACTCGAAGGTTCGAAAGCTTGAAGGGCTTGAAGGGGCTTGAAGGGCTTGAAGGGTTTAAAGTTTCAAGCTCTTGGTGGTTTGAAAGGTGCTGGAGTTCGAAAGTCTGGGAAACTTGGGATGTGCAGCGAGCGGGCGCCAAACTTCGAAGTGTTTAAACACGATTACAACACAGCTTTCAAACTCTCAAACCTTCGCACTTTGGAGCACCTCTGGCTTTTTCGAACTCCGGCTCCAAGCACGTCCGAGTTCGACCGACTCTCAAAGCTTGAAGTTCGATGGTTTGAGGCTCGAATTCGAAAGTTCGACGGGAGTTTGAGACACTTCGAGGGGCTTGGAGGCGTTCTTCTGGCTTGAAGGCTTGAAACGAGTCGCCTGCTATGGCGCTCGACGCAAGACAAAGCTCAGACGCTAGAAAATCGATCAGAGAAATTTAGCACCCAAGATCTCAAGTTGCACGCTTTCGAAGTCACGCTTTCAACGCTTTAAGCTGTAAATTTTCAAGTTTTCCAACTTGCGATTGTCAATCTCTCAATCTCTCAAACTGTTGAAGCGTTCCAATTCCGTGTCTGTCAAATACTGTCCCGTTTTCGAGGGTTGCTGTTTCAAACCTTCCCTCCATCAACGAACTCGCAAACTTTCAAGCTCCCCAGGTTCTCAAGCTTTCAAGCTCCAAAGCCTGGAAGATGCTCCGTGGACCCACCTCGAGTGTCGTGCACCTCACGTCCACCTTCGCTCCGGGATTCCCCCTTCGAACCTTCAAGCTCCAAACTTATCGCACTCATATTGTCTCTATAAGACGAACGAAGAGCAGCTCTCTTTGCCTTCAGTCGAAACTTCGCAAGGGTCTTGTATAAGTTAAACAACAACCCTTCCGAGTAGTATTCGAGAGGACGCGATGATGTACAACGCTGTGACACACCTCTGTATATCAGCGAGCGGCTCGCAGCCTTGAGGCCGCTTTGTCGCCGTCGCGGACGAACGCGGACGAGTCGCTGTCCACGCTGAACTATGCCAAGTGCCGGGGGGGGGGCCCCAAAAAAAGTCGGGCCGTCTCTCGTCTTCTCTCTTTTGGCGGCGTGTCACTGCCTCGTCGCACAGGCGCGCGAAGACCATCAAGGTGAACGCCACGAAGCCCGGAGCCCGGCAAGGGGAGCGGCTTTGAAGTGTGAAAGGAAGTCGTCGAGGGGAAGCCGCGTCGGAACTGGCAGGAACGACGAGGCGGAGCAGATTGCGAAGCTCGAGGAGGAAGTGGAGGCGCCGAGCTCGGCCCCGGAAGCGGCGGAAGTGCGGCGGAAGCTTCCCAGAGCAGAGCAGAGGGGGCTCCGAAAAGAGAATTTCCAAAGCCTCTCGCGCGGGAGGCCTTGCGCCTCAAGCTGGCGGAGCAAGCCTCGGGCCTCGCGGACACCAGCGGAGCGCTCGAAGGGTTTTGAAATGGGGGACTCTGATTCAGAGCACACGGTGCGCGCGCGTGCGCCTGCTTTGCTGAGGTCGCTACGAGACGCAGCTCCAGGAGATGGAGAGCTTCATGAAGCAGACCTGGGAGGAAACCTGAAAATAAAGCGTGCTGTGCTCTGCTTGGGGGCGTTGCAGGACAAGGAAAGGCAGTCCTTGGAGCACGAGGAGGAAAGGAAGCGCCTGGAACAGGAGGCGAGCCCCGCTTTTCGCGTTCGAAAGCCTGCAGCGAGCCCGCATGCCATGCTGTAGATGCCCAATGCCGAAGACTAAGAGAATGAGAGCGCAAGACGACGACTACGACCATGTGATCACGTGGAGACAACAGAAAGAAGCAAAAAGCTGAGAGAGAGACAGTGACAGAGAAAGCTGTCTCCAAAACGCCTCCTCTCCGGCTCCCTCTCCTCCCCTCTCCTCCCCTCTCCTCCCTCTCCTCTCCCTTCCTCCCTCCTTCCTCCTCTTCCTCCCTCTTCCTTGGGCGGCGGCGCGGAGGCCCAGCGCACCGTGGAGCGCCTGCACGAGGAGCGGAAGCGGCGCCTGCGGCTCCTCGAGGAGAAGGCAAGGGGGCCCTATTGAAAAGCCGAAGAGGGGGCTGGCATCGATAACATCTAACATGTACTTTATAACATATTATATATTATATACAGTGTATATAATGTACTAATCCATAATATATACCTGGCCTTTTGGGGGGCCCTCCCCCTCTGAGCCAGGGCGACCTGGAGCTGACGGTGCAGGAGACACGGGGAAGTTTCGCGCCCTGTGCGCGCGCGCCGAGGCGTCGAGAAGACGTATACAGAGGAGCCCTGTCGACTTTTTCAGGAGCTGAAGCAACTGCAAGGCGGCGAGCTCTGGACGCGCTGCGCCGAGAATTAGACCCGCTTTTGCGGTATTATAAAGCGGGCTTCCTCGGCTTTTCCTTTTATGTGAGGCCCTGCACCTCCGGCTGGTGCGGGGCCCAGCGTAGAGAGAACCCGGAAAGAGCTGCGTGCAACAAACTGCCAGGCCCTCTCAGATCTCGCGGCTGCTGTCGCTGGAGAACCGCGTCACTGCGCAGTGCCGCGGCCTCGGCGGCCTCGGCTTTGGGCCGCCACACAAACCTGAAAGGCTTTCTCGGGCGATTTTGATGACCGAAGACAAATCGCTATAGTCGCTTTAGGAAACTGGACTGTGCGAAGTTGCTTCAAATGTTTGTTCTTGAACTGTGTTTTGCTCGCCGTTTCTTGCTGCCTCTGCGGTGCCTTCTGCCTTCTGCAAGCGCAGCCCACGCTGCGTGTGTCGTGTGTGCGGATGTGTGCTCGTCGTCACCCGAGGCCGAGCCTGCTGCCTGCTGAAGGAAGCGGTCTGCAACGACGTGGAGCACTGGTGCGAGAAGCGGCGCCAGGCCCAAACAAAAAACCATGCCAAGGGCGCTGTTCGTCGAGTGGTGTGTCCTCTGCCAGGTGCAGGACGGGGGCAAGGAAGAAGATGGCGGTGCCGGGCTCCGAATGCTCCTGCAGCAGGCGGAAGAGGAGGCCCAAAGGGAGCTTGAAATGATCTCTTTTTCTGCTCTGACAGGCTGAGCGGAAGGTGGGCACTATGATGCGCGAGCCCGGGACCCCGGTGTGGGGTTCTAATTTTGGGACGCGACGTATAGACGTCCACCCGTCCCGCGCAGAGCGATTTCGCTCCATGGAAGGTTTGAGTCCCTGGCGAAGCACGAGCAGGAGCTCGCCACAGAGGCGGTGTGCGGTGAGCCTCCTCGCTGCGCCGCTACGATCCGCTACGCGTCGCATGCTCTGTTCTGATTCTGCTGACGCTCGGTACTGGTCAGGTGGCGCTCTGGATGCCCCAGGCAGACTCGCGTCCAGTTTGCGAAGCTTCGCGCGCAGCCTTCGCGTGTTGCTGCCGCCCGAGCGCCGCGAGGTGCAGAGGGTGGTTTCCGGGATCGCACACGCCGAAAGCTCCGAAGAGAAGGCCCTGGCGTTGGGGCCCAGGGCGACCGCGGCTCGCAGCGAGAGAGAACGGAGCCTTTTTCCAGGAGGAGAAGAGCGAGGAGCCTGGCGCCAGCAACGAGGCGGGGGGCCGCCTTTCCCCCCACCTGCTCAGCTGCTCAGATCGTCAGATCTCCAGGTCTCCGAGGATTACCAGGAGGTCCTGGGTCTGGTCCTTCGTCAGCAGCGTGCCGAGCACCGCCGATGCGCCGCGCACTCTGCGCCGCGCGGATCTCTCGAGGCTGGACAGCCGGCGCATGAAGGTTTGGGGCCAGATCGCGGAGGACGCAGAGCTAAGCAGTAAGCTTAGGCAGCGCCTTGAGCCTAGAGGGGGGGGGGGACTGCAAGGGGGCGCGAAAGACGAAGACTCCGGAGAGGACCACAAAGCGCTCGGAGACTTCGTCGGCCAGTTTCAGGCCTTGGTGGACTGCAGCCGTGCCCTAGGCCAGGCTCCCCACAGAGCTCCCTCTCGCTCTCTCTCTCTGAGCTGCTGCTTCAGCTCTGTTTTGAATGAGGCGCGGAGGTGGAGGAGCTGGAAGAGGAGACCAGGCCGGGGAAGCCTAAGAAAAGTGAGAGCCCGCTTCAGAAGGAACCGCCCAGCGGCCTTCACCCTGGAGGCTCGAGCTGGAAGTTGGAGGCTCCTCCGGCTCCCGCGCGCGGCCGCCCGCTCCCCTCCACGGCGACGAGGCGTTCGTTAGAGCTCTGTGATTTTAGTTTTTGGGACTCCAACAAATAGGACAGGGAGCTTCTTCCGTCTTGCAAGTTTGAACTACATCATCTAATGCAGCTGCAGCCTGTCGGACCAGGATTCCAGCACTGGCTTCATGCCAGCTGGTATGTGTTTTCTTTCTGAATTGTTGCCTTGAGGTCGGAGGGCCAACACGAGCAGTTGTGGGCGGGGGAGGGCGGTGGCGGTAGCAACAGCAGTAGTAGTAACAGAAGTCACAGTAACTGCAGCGTTTTGGGCTTAAGGATGTCCTTTTACCAGCGACTCCTGCTTCGCCACCTCGTTAGACTTTCCAATGACGAGCAGCTATTGCAGAAGCGATAAGGGAAGAAAGGTCAACCCGAGCGAGAGCTAAGCAGTTCATGATTTGGTTACCGTGACGCTGAAGCGGCCAGTCCGACGCATGATCAGCGCAGAGCCTTTTGCTTATGCTGGAGAAGTATACCAGCTTGCCAGAAGCAATAACAGACAGACAGAGCGCTGTTACTGAGCAGAACGGCCAGATCATCAAACAGCAGATTCGTGTCCATCTGCTGCTTGATGATCTGGTCGCGTTGCGCAATAACAGCGCTCTGTCTGTCTGTTCTTGCTTCTTGCAACCTGGTACTTCTCCAATGATCTTTCAAGAAAATACAGGGGCCGTCAAGGAGATCTACGTGGAGGACGCTCTACCACTCCGTTGCTCTGCTCCAAGAATGACAGGACATGACTAAACAGCAGTTTCTCGATGAAGCTCACAATCGGAAACTTACAATAGAAGTTTTCGATGATGAACCGGCGAATCCGATTTAGGTGTACGCAGACGAGGCCGGCGACACCGAGTGAAACCTCCTGTGCAGAATGCTGTAAGTACTCCAATGGTACAAGGGTTCTAAGGCTGTCATAAGATGGGTTCTGAAAGGGGAACAAAAACCTCATGCCATCCCTAGCCTTAGCTACTTCGTATGATCTGCCACTGGCTCACATTTGGAGCGATTCTGGCCAGCCTTCAAAAAGTTCCCCTGCGACTCGGGTTGTGCTTGGTGCAGACATGTGCAGGCTTGAGCTAGAACAGCTAGTGAAGTGAGTGCAAACCTTAGCTGCCGAGGTCATGCCTTGGCCAAAGAGTGCTGAAGCTGACTTCACCTTTGCAAGCAGCACAAGCCAGGTTTCCGCGGCACTGTCTGTGCCTCTGGGCCTCGCCACGGAGGCACGCGGGAAGTGCCAGCAGTTCGGGCCCAGCCCAAGATTAGCGCAGAGTTGCGGCGCGCAGCCTCCTGGCAGGACTTGCCGGATACCAGCATTTCCGCCAGCTCCAACCAACAGGCCCAGCAGCCCGGCCACGCTGCGCACACACGGCCCCACGTCTTCGCCCCGAAGTGTCTTTGGCTGGCAGGCCTGCACGTCTGTCCGACTCTTCAGTGGGGTGAACCGCATGAAGTGCGCCTTTAGTGGCCTGCGCACTCAGAACAGCACCTCACCTTAGCCTGCCTCCTTTCCTCTTTTGGCTGAGGCTGGAGTCCGGTGGAAGACGCTACCTCGGAGTACCTGCAGGCTCTGAAAAAGATCTCTGTGAGTGTTTTCTTTGGTCTGCTTGGGACCGGGTATACACAGTTATACACATAGGTGGATCTGGGCAAGCCCACCTGGGAACGCCCCTGAGAAGAGGGCTCTGCGTGTCGTCGGTGCGGTGCGGTGCCAGCTGCGGGCAGTTGCGGCAGTGGCTGTGAGGTCAGCAGCTTGGCCCTGCAAGGCCGAAGGCGGAGAGATGTGCGGAGAGAGCAGAGAGAGTGCGGAAACACCGCGCAGAGCGGCGCTTCGGGACGCGAGGCCGCTGAGCGGCGACTGGGAGGCGACCAGGCCCTTGCTGGCAGAGGCGCGGCGCGCGATGGCTCTTTGCCGCTGCTTGGACTGTTCTCTCTGCAGCTCCTGGATCCTGGAGATCCGCTGCCTCCCAGCCGGTCCGCGCCAAAGTGTGTACAAGCACGCGCCGAACCTGCGGGGGCGGGGGGGCGTGGGGGCGGCTGTCGGCTCTCAGGATCTTCAAGCGCCCGCCCGTCCGCCTGATCCACGACATCGTCGTGGTCGGGGCCTTTGGCGCCGAGCGGCCCTGACGGATGAGCGGCTAATGAACGACTGAGGCGGCTCATGTCCGGCACCAGGCCCGTCGTCGGGTCACCGCTCGCCGAGCCCTTTCAGCGACGCGTCTCTCCTCTCTCCTCTCTCTGGGGCACAGGCGCTGGCCGCTGGGAAGCGAGCAGCTCAGAGTCTCAGCCTGTCCCCCTCCGCAAAGCTCCGCGGCGGCCCGAGGCCGGACTTCTCCTCGGAGCAGCTGGACTACAAGCAGCTTCAGAATGCCGACCGTCAAGCAAAGGCGCATCTCTGCGGCGGGCGTAGTAGAAGGCAGCCTTTTGGCCCTTATTATTTGTGGCTCTTAATTTCCCGTGAGAGGTCGACTTCTTCGAACTGCTGCTTGCAAAGGCGGTCGGAGATCTCAGAAGAGCGAAACTAACGGAGAAGATGTGTGCGATGGGTGAGTTACTCAGGGGCACGCCGTGAAGGCTGCGGGACTGCAAGACAAGGCCTTCGATCCCGCTTCCCCTGGCTCTGCCTCTGGGCCTTTCTCATGAGATCCCATGGAGGTTCCTCCATTGAAAGTCAGCCCATCGGACATCTTGGGCGGCAAGAACACCGTCGCCACTCGGACGGCAAAAGAAAACAGAGAGGGAGTGACTGACTATATAGAGATAGAGACACACAGTGCTGCCACTTCCTCTGTCAGGAGAGCAATCGGCTCTTGCAGCTGCTCTGCTACCTCGGCCTGAGGTCCGGGAGAGCTCCTTCGTAACTTGCGGCTTCAGGAAGGTTCGTATACCAATGCCTTGCAGGAAGAAGCTGGAAGGATCCTCCTACGGAGGGTTGCTGGATGTCTCTGACCAGTGGGCACTGCCGACATGTCTATTTTGTTGTGGCCTCTGTTGGGTTCGGATCCGCCATTTTGATTGATGCGGGGCGCCTGCAGGCAACAAAGTTCACGGTCTCCTGGAGCGAGAAGGGTCAAGACTGGGCGCCGCTGACAACACCCAGCGCCGGGGCCCGAGCGGGAGCGCCGCGTGCGCGCGCGCACGCGCGGCAAAAAAACCTCAAGCCGTGAAGATCACGGTGACACCGGTCACATGCAAGGAATCGCGACCGACCGCCGCCAAAACAACCCGCATAAGGGCATCTCTGCGTGGACTCGGCTCTTGCCCCCCACGGCATGCAGAATCGAGTGGCGTGCGTATTGCTTCGGCGAAGTCGGCGGAAGCGAGGGGCGTTCTGTTCTGTGTGGTGTGTGTGTGTGTGTGTGCTTGCTGGAGCATTCGAGGAAAGCCAAGCCTTCGTCTTTGAGGGTTGCAGCGATGCAGAGACCGTCCGCAGGGGCCTTGGACTATGCCGCACCGCTCGCAAATCCACTACTAACGCACTGGTGTTCCTCTCTACGTCCACTGTAGTCGCAGCGGTGTGAGAGCAGTGCTGTACAGGGGGGGACCACAGTGCACGAGGTTCCTGCTGACTTTCAGAGGTTAAAATCTAAGCTGTACAGGTCGCGCTGGCAAAGCTTACCCGTGTGAGTGGATGCAGTCAAGTTTGTGAAGTCGACTCATGTTTTGCCAAGGCTGTTCTTTTCGAAGTGCTGCCTGTTGAGATTTCAAGCAGTGACGCAAAGTCAGCTCACCGACCCACTGCAGCAGTCATTCTCGAGTCGTCCAAAGCTTTACGCTGCAGGCTTCACCCACAGAAGGGCATGGCCTGGACTCCCTTCACGGTGGATCCACAACACCGCATCTGTGCCTGGGTGCTGTTGTGTGTCTTGTACCTCATTCCCATCTCGTTCTATGGCTACAAGACTTGGTCGACCCTGCAGAGCGATGCTCCATCGGTGCAGACATCAATAGGGGCATTTGGACACCTGCCTTTCATCTACTATTGCATCCCGAAAAACATGTTCGACAATCACAAGACCCAGACTGCAACGAACAACAAGATTGGGCTTGTAAAGCCCAAACAAGTCGTGGCGTTCGATCACAAGCTCGATTTGGAGAACCCCAGCATTCGGGGATGCGAGTTCGACGGAACTCAGCAGGCCAATCGGAAGCCATTCATCTACGGCCTCTCCAAGGGAGCGCCTGGAACGGAGTTATGTTTTCTTCTCAATGCTACGGAAATGCAAGTAGTGAAGAAGGCCTCGATCAGGGTGGAGTTGGTCTTGACTGGAGTAAATGGCTCCAAGCCAGCAGACCAGCTCTTGCTTCTCGTCCGTGAACCGGATGGAAGCCTTCAGGCAGCAGGTTCCTGGGCACCAGGCATGACGGTCAGGACTCTCGAGAAGAAGAGGGAAGGATCGATGGGAGGCGAGCATGCTTCTTTCAAAGATGAGATTCTTGATGCCATTGTCCAGTTCTTCTCTCCGAGGTTCAAGAATGTCTACACGACTGAGCTTGTGTCCCAGTGGCAAGATGAGGAAGAAGAGACAAGCACTCTGCGACAGAAGTTCACAGCTAAGAAATACAACGTGAGCAAGGCCGTGCTTGACTTGCTTTTTCCGCGCAAGCAATACTACAAGATGACTTTACAAATCAACTCGGAGCATGTCGTCCAAGAGATGGAAGTCGGCCGCGTCCCACAGCTGGTGTTCTTGCTGACAGGACTTGGCGGCTACATTTCTGTGGTGACCAGCATTCTTCATGTAATCTTCGTGAAGCGTTTCCCTGCTAGCCGAGTGGTGGAAACCTATGATGCAACAACGCCATTTTGGGGTGAGCAATCTGCCGGTGAGCTCGCTGTGGAAGGCCGTGCCGGCGAGTAGAATAGACGCTAGTTTTGGCCACTAGGCTGGTGTTGGCCACCTAGTTTTCCTTTTCCTTTGACAGCTGGGCTTCCGGGACGGAATTGACCGAGCACGCTGTTTCAGACATTGTGTTTCGCATAATATGCGAATTGTGATCACTCTGTTTCAACACCGTGCCGCTGACTTGCGATAACGATGAACTGCGCAAAAATCTAAGCTGTACAGGTCGCGCTGGCAAAGCTTACGTCAAGTTTGTGAAGTCGACTCATGTTTTGCCAAGGCTGTTCTTTTCGAAGTGCTGCTGAGATTTCAAGCAGTGACGCAAAGT